AAAATATTCTACTGAAACTAACCAAATAAAACTATGGTTCAATTTAGTTATGATGTAATGGTATCGAATTTAATGAAAATGTTAATTTGGTTCTTTTTTTGTAAAAAATATGGTTAATTTCGGATAGTTTGGTTAATTTTAGATGGTTTGGATCATTTTGGTTACCATAACTCTGTTTAATTCGGTTTGGAATCTTCGGTTCAATTTATTTCTCCTGGCCAATTCTTATTTATAAATCCAAATAATTTCTAATATTATTATTTTTTTAAACTATTTGAATTATGGGACAATTGCAAAAATGTCACTTTTAGTGTGTACATTTGCAAAAATGCCACTTGGGGTTGTCCATTTACAAAAATGCCACTAATTATGAACTTTTAAAGCTGATATTGTAAAATTCTAAACCCTAAAAAATATTTTGACCCCTAAACCCCCCATAAACCCTCAAAACTAAACCCTAATAGAACATAGTTAACCCAAACATAAATAATATAATGAAAAAAATAATTTTGAAAAAGTGGCATTTTTGCAAAGATTTCAAAAATGTGGCATTTTTGAAAAGTGGCACTTGAAAAGTGGCTTTTTAAAATTTCTCTTGAATTATTGAAAATCCGATTTAAGAGTGTTCATTTGAATTATTTCTTCAATTAACAAATTGAGGAGACATCAAAATATGAAAATAAAGTACATCAAAAAGAGTAATTGTTTTTTTTAAACCATCGAAATTTCAATAGGAAGTAAAGAATCGAGGTAAATTTTCTAACAAAACAAAAAATATTTGAAACCTATTTATTAATGTCCGTGATTATGATTTAGGCTACGATACTTTCTTAGTAACGTAACTCAGATCAGATTGTCACATCTAAGTAAAACAAAACCTTCTCCAGACAACTATTTTACATTAGAGTCTACATCACAAAGCTTGGTATAGTTCCACTATTTTAGCTTTGAAACTAATTAGCTTTGAAACTAATTAGTTCTGAAAATTAAAGCTAAACACAAACACATGAACCCTCACTTCACAACGGCAACAACGAATCTAAACTTTTTTTAATTAGCCTTTAGATGATCTTCTGTTTATTAACTTTTGTGTTATTTTTTTTTCACACGAACACTAAATTTCAATTCACACGTAGGTTAAATTCTAAGTATGACAATAACTCCGGAGTATAACAATTGTTTTGTACCGATAAAGAAAAACATGATTTAAAGCTCATACTAAACTTTTCAGCTTTTATCCAACTTTAGTACTTAAAAGTCCTGAGTCAATATTGATNAAAAAAGANATTCNAGAAAATTTTGATAAGTTATTATATCCTTCAACTCCAGAGCCCACAAATTCTTGATGCAACCATTTGTAGAAAAAAAAAACTGAGAAAGTTTTGCAGCTATACTAATGCTTCAGTCTTCAACTTCTTAGTCATCGTCCACCTATGAATTTTCTTACATAATCGTCATCCCCCTATGCATCAAGTTACATCCCCATACCATTTATTACGATGGAATCTCATTCTTCTATTTGTTGAAATAAAGAGTGTACCTACAAAACAAATTATCTTCGCAATCCAACT